GTCAGTTACCATGGCAACCATCATACAGTTGCGTTGCTACAGTCAGTTACCATGGCAACCACCGTACGTCCCACTGCTACGGTCAGTTACCATGGCAACCATCATAAATTCCCGTTGCTACAGTTGTTTACCATGACAGTCATTATACATTCCTGTTCCTATGCTGCGTTACCATGACAACAATCATACCTCCTGATGGTAGAGTCAGTTACCATGGCAACCATCATACACTCCCTTTACTACAGCCAGTTACCATGGTAACCATCATACATTCCCGTTGTTACAGTCAGTTACCATGGTAACCATCATACATTCCTGTTGTTACAGTCAGTTACCATGGTAACCATCATACATTCCCGTTGCTATAGTCAGTCACCAAGGCAACCATCATACTTCCCACTGCTACAATTAGTTCCCATGGCAAACAGCACACATTCCCATTGCTATGCTCAGTTACCGTGGCAACCATCATACATTCCCATGGTACAGTCGGTTACCATGGAAACCATAATACATTCCCATTGCTTTGGTTGGTTACCATGACAACCATTATAAATTCCAATTGTTATGGTCAGTTACCATGGCAACCATCATACTTCCCACTGCTACAATCAGTTAGCGTGGCAAACGGCATACATTCCCATTCCTACGGTCAGTTACCATGGCAACCATCAAACATTCCCATTGCTACGGTCAGTTACCATGGCAACCATCATACATTCCCATTAGTATAGATGGTTACCATGGCAACCATCATACATTCCCATTGCTACGGTTGGTTGCCATGGTAACCATCATATGTTGCCATCGCTACGGTCAGTTACCATGGCAACCATCATACAGTCCCATTGCTATGGTCAGTTACCATGGCAACCACCATACATTCTACATTCCCATCACTACAGTCAGTTTCTATGGCAACCTCTTGGTTCCTCTTGGACAGAAGCAGATGCAGATGAGCCTCCCTGTTGCCCACCAACCTGCCAGCTGTGCTCTAAAGGCCTGTGTGCCAAGGGGGGTCTTGAACAAGACCCTGCACAAACCTCTGGGACTCTTTGCATCCTGTCCTGGTGCCTTTCCAGTGAATTCCAGGGTTATCAAAGCCAACTTCAATGGGCTCTTTGTCTCACTCCACAGTGTCACCCAAACTAGTCTCTCCTCTGACCCTCACCCACAAAAGTTCACCCAATTCCTTCATCCCCCAGAGCAGCTCCACAGGTCCAAGAAGCTCCTTCCTGCTGAGGACACCTCTCTCCTGCTCTTTCTCTCCTGTGTCTCCTTGGCCTTCTCTCCCAGCCCATCACAGCACCAAAACCTGGGAACTGTCTCAGCAGGCCTGGGCTGTTATTGCCTGCAAGTGGAATGAAGAGAGACTTGGGGCTGCAGCTCCTCCTCCTGTGCCCCACACGCAGGGCATTGGGGCCTGTCTGGCTGCAGCCCCTCAGTGGGGGCACCGGGGTCAGAACAGACTTGCAGTGGGGAAAGCTGCTCTGAAAGCCCCGAGAGCTGGGCTGTGCAGAGGCTTTGCTGACAATGGCCTTGGGGGGGGACGTGCTGGGACTCAGGCCCAGGGGGAAAATCCCAGGGCTGATCCCTGAGGAGATCAGCACATGCTGCTGAAATGCTGGGGGAGAGCAGAGCCAGCAGAGGGAGGGAACAAGTGTGGACAGCCTGGGCTGATGGGATTTGGACTCGTGCCTGGCCCGGCCTTGGCTGGGCAGAGAAGGGACAGCCTTTGTGTCCCTGCAGGGCTGGGATTCACTCCCTGCCCCAAAGGCCCCCAGTGTGTCTGAGAAGCCCTGGGTGGTGCCTGTCCCACAACTGCTGGGAATGGGGACGGGCTTCCTGCACAGGCCCTGTGCTGTCCAGGGCAGCTGCTGCACTTGTGCTGCAGAGCCCTGGCACCTCCCCTGGCACTACAGGCCCCTCTTTGGCTGTTCAGTCCAGGCTCAGCTGCCCTCAATTAGGTTCAGCATTGAAGGGATGTCCAGGAGACAACTGCCATTGTGCTCTGAGCACATGTAGAAAATACCCTGATAAAGAACAGGGGAGAGACCTCTCTCCGTGTGCCACCTGACTCCATTTGGTCACCTGAGCACCTCTAGGGGCTGCTCTGGACAGAAGGAACAGTGACAGGTTCCCCTGTCCTACATGTGGGCACCTTCTGCCACTGAAGTTGGCCAAAGCAATGTCCCAGCAGCCTCCAAGAAGATCCCACAGCTGCTGCCCTGTCCCTAGGAACTGCTCCATTGGAGCCTGCAGTTCCCAGCAGGAATCTCAGTCACCTCTGGCCCCTCAGAAGGACCAGGGGTTTGTGTCCCAGCAGGTCACTCCTGGCTTTGGTCTTCATTCATTCTCAGGGGAGCTGGGACAAGGAGTCACCTGCAGGTGCCTGTTTTGGGCCCACTGAGCTGGAATTGGACCAGCCCATGGGGGATGTGGCCCCAGGGCTGCAGAGCCACAAGGAGACACCAAGGACCAGGTTCTGGCTCCAGGTCTGCAGAGCCACAAGGAGACACCTCTGTTGACTCAGCTGAGTCCCTTCCCTCAGTGCAGGTGAAGGAGATCCCTCCTGGGCACTGTCTGGGTTTCCTGTCTAATTAAGGGACGTGAAAAGGGGCCTCTTGAACTTAACTCTGTGTCTGTTTGGAGAAATGACAGTGCTGAAAGAAGTGTCTGTGCCCAGCTGAGAGAAGGAACATCATTATTTCCTTCAGCTGTGTGCCAGCAGGTTCCCCTGGAGCCCCAGGGACAGCTGGAGGAGCCCAGAGGGGCAGAGAAAGGGCTGCCTGGGGCTGTTGCTGTGCTGCTGAGCTGGGCCGGGCTCCTGGCACACAGGGAGCTCCTGGCAAGCAAGAAGAGCTTCAAAGAGACAGCTCTGCCCAGGAGCAGCTCCTCTGCACAGCCCAGCAGGGCTGAGGGCACTGCCTGCAGCACCCAGGGCACAGGAGAGAAGGAACAGAGATGAGAGGCAGCCTGGGCTGGGAGGTGACTGAGCTCTCACCACAGGAGAAACCTTCCCAGGATTTGAAGGAAGAATTCTCTGGCTGTAGGAAAGTTCAACTTCCCTTCCTGGAGGCATCTCCTCAAGCTGGCACATCCCACAGCTTCCAGGATCTCTCAGCAGGACTCTCCCAGTTGCTGCAGTGCAGGGGAAGTGGCCACATGGCAGAGCAGGGCAGGAGCTGCAGGCAGCAAGGGCAGAGAGGAGAAGGGAGCAGGAGGTTCAAGGGATCCTGGGCTGGGAGGACAGGGCAGAGCTGCTCAGGGCAGGAACCTTGCCAGCCCTTTGCCAGGGTCAGTCTCTGTCTGCAGAGCAGTGCAGGGGAGTTCCTGCAAGTGCCTCTGCCAGCTGCCAAATGGCAGCAGTGGCAGGAGCTGTCAGGATGGCTCTGCTGGATTTGCTGGGGTGCAGCAGGAGAAGCTGCTGCAGAGCAGGACTTGCTGCTGCCCCCTCAGAGGCCCAGGGCCAGAAGGTTCCCTGTGGCAGGGCTGGCTGTGGGGTGGGAAGGTGGGGGTGCAGCCAGGGGTGCCCAGGGCTGTGGGGCAGAGCAGGGTCCTGCCCCCAGGGCTCTGTGTGCTGGGGCAGGGACTCTGCTGCCTGCCAGGGGCAGCTCTCAGCCCGGCCAAGGAGCTGCCACGGGGCTGGGGGAGAAGGGCTGTGGGGAAGGAACAACTCCTGGGAGGGCAGAGCAGGGCAGAGTCCTTCTGATCTCCACAGTGGGCTGCAGGGATGAGGGCTGGTCACAGCTCCAGATCAAAGCAGGAAATTTCCCAGAAGGTATTTGCAAGAGGCACAGACAGACGGGGGTACCTTCAAGAGAATGAACCAGTTCTTTCAGTGTTATACTCTGGGTTGTCTGGGTGCTGACTGCAACAGGGAAATCAATCTCTGAGCACAGGAGGAGACACTGAAACTTGAACTCTGTTAGATTAGAGGGGATTGAACCTGAGAGTTCACAGACATCAAAACTGTCTTATAGACAGCAGTAGTGTCACTTTTTCAACCTCCCCAGGGTTGCTCTGACATTGCCATCAGAGCCTGCCCAGGCAGAGATGCCCCTGGGCAGTGCCCTGTGCTGCTGGGAGGGCTCTGCAGGGCAGAGCTGAGCCCCCAGGGCTGGGATGGGCTCTGGCAGCACTTCCATGGCCCAGCCCTGGGCCCAGGGAAGCAGCTGCTGACAGGGACAGCTCCAGGCAGCAGAACCCTGGGCAGGGAGTGGGGGGCAAGTGCCCCAAGGGCCTTGGGGCAGCTCTGGGGGCCCTTCCCTGCAGCTCTGCTGGGCACTGTGTGCTGGGGCATAGAAATGAGGATTCCTGCAGTGGAAAAGAACCTTCCCCAAGTGTGATGGTAAAAATAGAAAACACAGGCAAAATTATTCTAAGCTCAGACTAAGCTTCTGCTCTGCAGCCCCAGCTCTTCTGAGTCATGGGTGTAGAGATGGAACTTTTGTATTCAAGGTCTGTTACATCTGACATTCCCTGTATGTGTGAGAGCTCTACCAAAAAAAAATCCATGTCCCACTGCAGCAGAGCAAAACTGACTCCTTGGCAGTGCATTTGGTGACATTTGACACATCAATTTATTTTAAAAATGGAGTTGCTTTTTCACAGAGGTCTGTCTTAACTGTTCCCTGTCTTTTCCTTTTCTGAAACAGACCCTGTGCTAAGGAACAACAAATGTGCAACAGCAGCTCCATGGCCCAGTTCCTCCTCCTGGCATTGGCAGACAGGCGGGAGCTGCAGCTCCTGCACTTCTGGCTCTTCCTGGCCATCTCCCTGGCTGCCCTCCTGGCCAACGGCCTCATCCTCAGCGCCGTAGCCTGCGACCACCACCTGCACACCCCCATGGGCTTCTTCCTGCTCAACCTCTCCCTCACAGACCTGGGCTGCACCTGCACCACTGTCCCCAAAGCCATGCACAATTCCCTCCAGAACACCACAACCATCTCCTACATGGGATGTGCTGCACAGGCCTTTTTCTTTTATTCTTCATCTCAGCAGAGTATTTCCTCCTCACCATCATGTGCTACGACCGCTACGTTGCCATCTGCAAACCCCTGCACTACGGGACCCTCCTGGGCAGCAGAGCTTGTGCCCACATGGCAGCAGCTGCCTGGGCCACTGGCTTTCTCAATGCTCTGCTGCACACAGCCAATACATTTTCCCTGCCCCTGTGCCAGGGCAATGCCCTGGGCCAGTTCTTCTGTGAAATCCCACACATCCTCAAGCTCTCCTGCTCACACTCAGGCTCCCTCAGGGAAATTGGGCTCATTGGGGTTGGTGTCTGTTTAGTGTTCGGTTGCTTTGTTTTCATTGTTTTCTCCTATGTGCAGATCTTCAGGGCTGTGCTGAGGATCCCCTCTCAGCAGGGACGGCACAAAGCCTTTTCCACGTGCCTCCCTCACCTGACTGTGGTCTCCCTGTTCCTTAGCACTGCCACATTTTCCAACCTTAAGCCCCCCTCCATCTCCTCCCCATCCCTGGATCTTATTGTGTCAGTTCTGTACTCGGTGGTTCCTCCAGCACTGAACCCCCTCATCTACAGCCTGAGGAACCAGGAGCTCAAGGATGCCCTGAGGAAAATGATGACTGGGTGTTTTTCAGGAGCAACAACCTTCCTCTCTTCTTCTGCAGAACACTCATTGTGTAACCTTTTACTGGCCCATCCTGCCTTCTAAAGCTTTTGAGAGTGGCATGGGGTGGGGTTCCTACATTTTTTCCTCTTTTAATGTTGGTAACACAGAAATTTATTCTTCATCCCATACCTAATTCACTTTATACCTCTTTGTTTTGACCCACAATTGTGTAAATGAGGAATCATTCTCTGTGTGCATTTAAACAAAATAAAAGTTCCTGCAGCAACTTCTTTGTGAAATATCCTGCCTGTATTATTCTGTACATGAGGAATCTCAATCTCCGAGTATAATAAAGGACTTGAATTCTTTTTTCCTGATTCCCCCTCCAAGAACTTCCCTGAAGTTGGAGGGCAGTGCCTGTGTGCAGAGGATACAGGAGCACTGCCAGGGAGCAGCAGCTCTTGGGCTTTTCAGAGATGCTCTTTTTCCACTGCCTCCCTCTCCTTTCTGCTCCTTGCCCAAGGCCTGAGTGCTCTGGCAGCTCAGTCCCTGCTGTGTCAGTCCTGTGACCATGGGCAGGGACAGGCCCTGGGCACTGCTGGCACAGAGCTGGGCTCCTTAACATCATTTCCATCAGGAAAGGGGATCCCCCTGGGCAGTTCCTGAAGACTTTGTTCTTTTTGAAAGGTTGGTGTAAAGAACAAGGCCAAGGAACAGACTCTCCAAAGTCTCATTGCTTTGCTTGTTTCCCCATTCAGTCCCTGCAGTGAGAGAAGCGACTCACTGGGGTACTTGAGGGCCTGAGGGCTGGTTCAGATGTTCTGTGCTGGTGGCCAGTGGCAAAGGGTCTCCAAGTCACCTGCCTGGGGCTCTGCAGCTTGTGAGGGCTCTGATGGAGGTGAGGACTTGTCTGTAGGAACTCAGGAAGTGCAGGAGAGCACAGAGGATCTGCAGGGACAGCCCGTCCCATCCAGTCAGCAGGGAATGGAGCCCTAGAGCAGAATCCTGCCCAGGGTGGAGTTACCAGAGATCAAGTACTAAATGTCCCTGTGAACTGGTACAGGAGAGTTCTGCAACCCCAGGGGATGCAGCAGGGACAGAGAAAGGACTCTGGCCAGTGACTCGTCTGACCCACAGTGAACTCCCCTTGTGCCTCCCCAGCTCAGGGAGGGCTGTAACAGAGCCAGGGCTGGGCTTTCCAGGAGGGTGTCCTGAAGAACTCTCCAGCCCACAGGTTGGATGGAGTGGAGCCCTGCCCTGCCCTCTGTGCCATTGGAAACAGCCCATGGTCCTGCCCAGCCTTGTTCTTGGCTACTGAGCCTTCCAGGACTATGGCAGAGGGTGGAGAGGAGTGATCCCCATCCTGCTGGGTCTGCTCCCCACCCTGACCAGCATGGCCAGTGCAGGCTCAGCCCAGGGTGCCACAGCCCCTCCCTGTGCAGAGCAGCACCTCCAGCTCAGGGCCCTGCAGGGATCCCAGGCTGGGATCTGCAAGTGGCCAAGGCAGCCTGGACACACTGACCTGGGCAAAGGGATGTCCCTGCAGAAGAGCAAGGCAGCATTTCTGGGCCTGCAGAGAGGAATCCCTGACACAGAGAAACCTCTCTCTGCAGCCCCCCCTGGGGACAGGCTGCTCTGTCCCTGGGCCAGGACTCTGGGCTGGGCTGGGCAGAGGGGCTGGCACTGAGGGGCACAGTCAGGCTGTGCTGGGCATCTCCTGCAGGTGACACCAGGGCTCCTGCAGTTTCCCTGACCTCCATTTCCTCCTGCCATGCTGAGTGTCCAGCCCCTGAGCTGATGGGGAGGCTGAGACTCCTCTCTGTGCCCCAGGAGCTGCTGTGCCCTTCAGAGGGGCTGGGGCTGTGGGGGGAGTGCCCAGAGCTCTGCAGCACCCTGGGGTGGGCACTGCTGTGGGGCCAGACCAGACTGGGCTGCTCCCCCAGTTGACCTCTCTAATGAAATCCACTTCTAATTTTCTCCTGAAGGACCATGAGAATATGTGTTGTGTCCTGAGCACTAAAGTGGAACTGTGGGGTAATAGAAAAATGTTTTGGTGTCATGGATATTGGGAAGGCTGGGCAGTGTCACTGGGAGACCTCTCCCAAACCCTTGGAAAGGCCAGAGCCAGCCCAGAGCTTCCTGGGGCCTTGGCAAAGGCAGACCTGGAACCAGTCTGCAAACAGGGCAGCAAGGAGGGTTGGCAGAGTTCCAGACTGCTCAGGCTCAGCAGGGAAGGGGAGAGGGCAAGTCCTGCTGCAGCCATTGCCAGGCATGGGAAGGACAAGGCAGGGATTGCCCAGACTTCAGCAAGGCCTTTGACATGATCTCCTGTGGTCTCCTTAGAGCCAGACTGGTGAGAGCTGGACTGGACAAGTGAAACGTGGTGAGTGGGAAGTTGAATGATTGATGAGGCTCAAAATCATGGTACAAATTCCTCTTGGCAGAAAATTTGTGACATCCATCAGGGATCAGCCCTTGACCATTCCTATGGAACATCTTTATTATGTCTCTGGGTGATGGGATGAAATGCACTTTCCACTCCTTTGTGGATGAGGCCAAGTTGCAGCGAGTCTGTGAGAAACCTCGCCTAGTTAATGGTGACTTGGACAAAAAATGTGGTCAAGATGACTGAGTTGGATAAACTTGTCTTGTCATCAGGTGCCCACCAAGGCCCACGACAATGAAGGAAAAAGTCATGGGTCAGAGGAAGGGCAATTCAAAAGGGGAACAAAAAGACCAAACACAACCAAACCAAACCCAACCAAACATGGAATGACAGAATATGCTGAGTTGGAAGGGACCCACAGGGAACATCCAGTCCAACCCTTAGCCCTGCACAGGACCATCCCCAAGGGTCACACCATGAGCCTGAGAGGATCATCCAACTTATTTAACTCTGTCAGCCTTGGTGCTGTGCCCACTGCCCTGGGGAGCCTATTCAGTGCCCAACCAGCCTCTGGGGGAAGAATCTTTGTCTAAGATCCAACCTAACCCTCCCCTGACAACTCCAGGCCATTCCCTCAGTCCTGTCCCTGGTCCCCCCAGAGCAGAGCTCAGGGCCTGCCCCTCCTCTGCCCCTCCCCAGGAAGTTGGACCTGCACTGAGGTCTCCCCTCAGTCTCCTCTTCTGCAGCTGAACACACCAAGTACCCTCAGTGTCCTCACACGCCTTCCCCCCAAGGCCCTTCCCCATCTTCCTTGCCCTCCTTTGGACACTCTCCAATGGCTCAATCTCTCCCTTCCATCGTGTCCCCCCAAACTGCCCCAATGGTGCAGGTGAGGCTGCCCCAGGGCAGAGCAGAGCGGGACAATCCCCTCCCTGGCCCGGCCGGCCATGCTGGGCCTGATGCCCCCAGGACAGGCTTGGCCCTCCTGGCTGCCAGGGCACTGCTGACTCAGGGCCAACTGGCCACCCACCAGCACCCCCAGGGCCCTTTCCCGGCCCTGCTTTCCAGCCTCTCCTTCCCAGTCTGTCCGTCCATGCGGGGTTGCCCCATCCCAGGGCAGAATCCGGCACTTCCCCCTGTTGAAGTTCTCAGGGCTCCTAAAGAGCCGGGAGGTCACGGGATGTCAAAGAGCCCCACGGAGCTAAAGGGACCCTTGGGACACTGTGGAACTTCCTGGAATCAAGGGGCCTTTGTGACATGTGGGGCCTCATGGAACAAAAGGAATCCTGGGCAACTGCAGAGACACATGGAAGCAAGTGGCCACTGGGACATGCGGGGCCTCATGGAATCAGGGGAGCCCTGGGACACTGCAGAACCTCACGGAATCCAGAGGCCACTGTGACACTGCAGGGCCTCTTTGAACCAAAGGGGCTTGTGCTGGGCTGTCACAGGCCAGGGCAGGGGCAGCTGGAGAGCCCCTGGCCCAGCCATGAGTCACGGGCTGAGCCATCAGCTCCTGTTGAGAGAAGGGACCTCACAGGCCCTTCTGAAGGGGTTAATAGTGGGTCTATTGGCTCTCAGGATGAAGATATTGACTGGGGAAGCTTTCAGGTGTATCCTTGATGATTAGGAAGTCAGTACACGGCCCTAATGGAGAAACAAAGGCAGACTTTAAAGTTGGTAGGCCTAGGATGTGGGAACTGCAATAAGGCCTTGAGCTTTGCCAAATGTATCACCAATTGATCCTAGCCAATGAAAATGCTGTTGCTTGCTTACCTAAAATAAGGTTACTGCTTGCTGCTAGCAAGGAGTATAAAAAGACAGATGAGAAAATAAAGAGAGACATCTTTTCTGCACACAACCAGACTCTTTGTGTCTTTATTGACCATCACGACTCTACACCGACAGTTTTGTTATTGCTGGGCAGCACTTGCACAGCTCCAAGGCCTTTCCTGCCCCTGGTACGGCCACGCTGGGGAGGGAGCTGGGGGTGCGTGGGAGGGTGGGAGGAGACACACCTGGGCCAGGTGACCCCCCTGAGCCAAGGGCTGCTCCAGACCATGGACATCACACTCAGCGTGTGTAGGGGGGAACTTTGGAGTGATGGTGTTTGTCTGCCCAGGTCACCGTTACTCGGGACAGGGCCCTGCTCTCCTGGAGGTGCTGAACACCTGCCTGTCCATGGGAAGCTGGGAATGAATTCCTGGTTTTGCCCTGCACGTGTGCACGTCTTTGACTCAACTCAGGGGTTTTGTCACTTCTACCCTTCTGATTCTCTGCCCCATCCCTGTGGTGGGGAGGGAGTGAGCGACTGTGCAGTGCTGAGTTTCTGGCTGACGTTGCTAAACCTTGACAGATGGAAACTGTACAGGTCTCTGGGACCCTGTTCTGGTGCTGAACTGTCCCCTTGGTGGGTTTTTAAAATTATTAATTATTTATTCTGTATGCCAACTTACTCAAGCCTTACAGAACTCAGTGCAAGATCTCATAGCAGGGCAAGGTGCCCTTCCTATCCTTTAGCTTTTTAAGCTGATTCCACACAGGGACACTGTCCACAGGCCATGAGGGCTAGCAAGGGATTTCTCAAACCCAAGGGGAGTCGCCTCTCATGGGTTGTGTCACCCCTGGGGCTCACTGATGACTGACCACAATTGCACTGTTTCCCCTTAACATTACACTGGTCAGACCCAGCTGGAAGGAGCTCTTGGCATTGAAC